CTGCCCAACAAAAGGACGGCACTTAATTAAATTTAAATACACACTGAAAATGTTTAAAATGGTAAATTTTATGTTATTTGTATTTTACCACAATAAAGGAAACATTTGTTTTTAAATAAGTAAAAAGATGGAGAATGGTAAAGGGGTGGAGTCTACCATGCAAGCTAACCAAAAGAAGTCTGGGTATCTATATTAATTTCAGATAAAGTAAACTTCAGAAGAAGGAAAATGATCAGGAATAAAGATGCACATTATCTAATCATAAAAAGGTCGATTCTCCAAGAAAACATAATCTCATTGTGTATGTTCCTAACACTAGACTGTCAAAACACATAAGGCAAAATCTGAAAGAACTGCCAGTAGGAATAGAAAAACTTGAAGTTATACTTGGATACATTATTGTAAAAGGTATTTGTTTTATATTCCAAAACAGTTATTAAGAGCTTCCCACCAGATAATTTGGGAAGTGAATTGATGATTAAGAGACAATGTTTTGGTGAGAAAACTTTAAGGAAAACAATTTAAATACTGCAAAACATAATGTAAAGATTTCAATGAGAAATCTGGAAAAATACAGAGTATATTTTAGGTATAAATTTGAAAGAATTGCTTCATAAAGTAGAATTTGTAATATTAGACTACATAAACTTGAACATGGTATCTAACTTTTAGTTATACAATACAATTCTCATTCAGACTGAATCATTTAAGTAAGAGCCAAAGTGGTGACACTATATATCTCAAAACTTTATATGGAAAGAAAGTTATGAAATCTGTAAAACAAAATCCATGACATATTTGACAGGGGATTAATACCAAGAAGACATGGAGAACTCGTAACCTCAAAAACAAAAACAAAATATATAACAATCAGATTAAGAAACAGGCAAAGGATTTGATAGACACTTCTACAAAAAGACAAAAATGGACAATAAGCAAATGAAAATGTGTTCAACATCATAATCATTAGGGAGATGTCATAAAAAATACAGTGAGATTACACTTCACACCCAGTAAGATGACATATTATTACCATTTCTTAAGAACGTATTGGCGAGGATGTGGAGAAAATAGAACGATTATACTCCTCCGATGGGATGTAAATGGTGGTCACTAACAGAGACAGGACGGAAGTGGCTCAAAGAATTGAAAACAGAAGAATCCCGTGATGCAGAAATTTGGAAAGGAGCCACATGACAAATGTTCACAATGGCCCACAGGTGGGAACAACGGAGTGTCCGCCGACAGATGAATGGATAAATGACATGGAATTTCAGCGTAGGCACAATAAAGCCTTAAGAAGGGAGGAAACCGCTGTGTGCTATGATGTGGATGACGCTTTGAAACACCATGCTAAACGGAATAAGCCAGTAAGAATAAGGACAGATGCTGTAAGATCGACTACCGTCACATGGGATGCCTAGAGAAGTCAGAGACAGAAGGCCGAATGCTGGCGGCCAGGAGCTGGCGGCGCGGTGGGGCGTTGATGCTCAACGGGCACAGAGTTTCAGTGCTGCACGCGGAAGGGCGTCCTGGGGACGGACGGTAGTGACGGGGCCACAGCAGTGAGCATATACTTAAAGTCATCACACCGTACGCCTGGTCCAAACGGAACGATCTACAACGATTTTGAAAATAAATCGCAATCCACGGTCGTGAGAGCGACGGTCATAAGGCACTGTCCAAACTGGGACACTCCGGGGGCGGGGGACAAATGTGATGGTCCCGGGTAGCCCAGGTGCCCCCCAAATATTCTGCTCCTGCCTCAGAGAGAAATATCCCCCTGCCTCAGTCGAGAATTTCGTCTGGCAAACGCTCAGCGCAGCAACTATGGAAGAAATCCCACAGGCAGCAGTGCCGACGAAGAAGGATTTCTGTCCCAAAGCCCCACACCTGTAAGACGCAGCCAGGAGACTTTTGAAATAAAACTTTGGATGCATTCCAGAGGTACCGTTTTACCCCAGGAGTCCATTCTACTCTGGGCCAGTCGCCTTTGGCCTGGGGCTCCGCCGCCCGTACGTGCACGAGGGACACACCTTTACCTCCCGCCCCCGGCCTCTGCCATCGCGACGCCATCCCTCCTGGAAGGCAGGCCCCGCCACGGCCCCTCATCTGCTCTGCCTTCCCTGGCCCACCAGCTGGAGGCCGTCCACTTCCAGCCTCTGCTGGTCCTTTACCTGGCGAGAGGCCAACATGAGAGGAAACCTCGATCACTGAAGGAATGCTACTGACGTGTGCTCTTGGCTGCCAACCCTGAAAAACCACCGCAGCTCAAATCGTGCACCAGCCGTAAGGAAAGGTACCTGGGCCCTCCCCGCGTGAACTCCGTGGCCGGTGCCTTGGTTTTTCCAGGAGTCCGTCGGGGGCTCGGAGCCGAGGGACGGAGCGAGAACCTCACTGGCTTCCTGGCCATCGTGCGAACTGGCGCCACTCTGAGTGCCTTTCCCGTACCCGCAGTGGTCAGTCCCGCCCCGGCCCGGTCTCGGGCTCTGGCACTGGGGCCCCCCGGCCCCAAGGTCTGCCCTCTGTGGCGCGAAGACCCGAGACAACGGGTGCCCGCACGAACATTTTCCCTGCTGGGGCTGCTCCGCGCAGGGTGATTCCCCCGCGGATGGGGTGTCCTCAGGGGGCCTCGGTGCCCAGGCCTGGGCCAGGTCACCCTCACCGCACACGTAGGGCAGCTTTCAAAGGTCCTCAAGGTCACCTGCCTCGAGTATTTCACACCCCTCCCCCACGTTCACATCACCTCTGTTCTTCTCTACCCGCACAGTACATTGTGAGTGGGCTACATGCTCGCAAGCTCTCACTCTTGGACCTTTTCTGTTTCCTGGCTTGTCTGTATGTTTTGCAAACACGCAGCCCACCTCCTGCTGAGTGTACAGCAGGAGTCCTCTCCTGCAGGTGTGAATCGCAGGATCGCCAGCTTAGCTGGAAAGGCAGCGCAGGCAGCACCGGCGCACCCGACTGACAGGAGAGTGGAGGCTTCAGGTGGCCTCATGAGACCAAAGGGCACCATCAGGGCAGGTGACGGCACATCTCGGGCTTTGGCCCAAAGGGGTGTACTTTGCCCCCTTCCGACACGCCAGGATGGTTCAAATCAGAAGCTCGGGGACTAAGGGTCGGCGAGCATCATGGGCTGACTGGCGGCCTGGCCGGGGGACACGTGGCGAGTCGTCAGGATTTAGGATGCCTCCTCTCACCTGCCACGGAGAGGATTGGAGGGGGCGACCCCTGAGTCCAAACTGAGCTGGATGTCCTTGGCCAAAAACATGTTGCCCCGGTCTTCCTTTTGTGTCCCTGGTCTCCTGAGTTTATCGATACCTTTTAAAACGTGTGTGAACAAAGCAGACACAAATCGAACAAAGTTTTAAACTGGTTTCCTTGAGGAAGACGGCCCTGATTTCGGTCTGGGCCTTATGACTTAACGTTACATAAAAATAGAGCACGTAACAATTAGCAAAGCCCTGTTTGGGGGATTCTGGGCCAACATGGAAGCCACTGAAAAAAGTCTTGCCTTGGCTCATTCAGAAGAAAACAATCACGTGGCAAAGGCCTCCTCTAGGGGAACGTGAGTGCGAGTGTCTCGAATTCTACGCTGTGCCGCACAGATGCTCTTGGGCCTCCACGCAGAAGAGAGAAGACGCACCAAGCAGAGCAAGGGGTTTGAACGCTCGAAAGCTCGGGGAGTCACTCTCATACTGAGGGTCGGGCGGGTCCTGTCAAAGCTCAGGCCGGGGCCCCCTGAGCTGCCACTTGAGGAGGTGAGGCTGGCAGGATGGGCTTCCGGCGGAGTCAATCGTCTCCACAGAAGACCACGTCATACCGTTTATTCATTATACAACACATTCAGAACAACAATCCAAATCATCTCTCTGAAACCAGGTTACGAAAAAGGGATAGAGCCAGGCCGGCACACAGGGCCTTCTGCCCGCGTTTCTGTGAAAGGGTTTCAACAGATATTTTCTCTCACTTGGAGGAAAGGCAGAAGGAGGAGGGGGGCCGACTGGCGCCCCTGCCGGGAGCCCGGGCTGAGGCGGACAGTCAGGGAAGATTGCCCGCACTCTTGAGGCCGCAGTCTAGCAGCTCTGGGAAAAGCGAACCCGTCTGGGACCCCCAGCAGCAGGGCTCCGAGGGGCCTCCGGGCGCTGGGCCCTGAACCCTGGCACCCTCGCCCGCCCTCCTGGCGCTGGGGCAGCCTGGAGCTCCCCGTGGCATCTCACGACCTTGCGTCCTTTTCACGTCCCTCAGGAAATGGCAGCAATTCCTTCTGGGTGGGGAGATAGGAAGCCTCCAAGTCCGATCCCGTGTTCAGCGGAACGTGGACTCCGGCGGCATGTCTCCCGGGTCTCGGGTCTCTTTTAAAGCAACAGCTCTCAGTGATGACAGAAGGGCCTGGTCTCCCTTGAGAGCTCCTAAAACGTCGCCCGCGAGTAGCACTTGGGAAGCAAAGTTGGCTAGGACATGGCTCCCCGCCTCCCCACTTGCAGGCCGGGTGCATCTCTTGAGAGGGCAAGTGTGCAAGACACAGAGCGAGGGGACCGGCCTAGCAGGAACCCTCCCCGCAAGCTTCTTGCCCAGGTTTCGCCGCTGCCCTGCAGCCCTGGGGCCTGGGCTGAGCCTCCGAGAACCCAGTCTGTCCTTTGCCCTGGGCTGGGGGCGGAGGACCTCTTGGGGACAAGGCTCCTGGCCCACGGCCCCCACGAGCTGGGCCGTTGGTGTCTTGCGTAGACGTTTCACGGCTCTGTCCTTGGTCAGGCCTGTCTGAGAGGCTGGGCGGGGAGACAAGGCAGGCGCCTCAGGAGCCCCAGACGCTGCCCCGAAAAGCTTCCAAACCCAAAAGGGTGGGTGCGGCCCAGGGAGGTGTTCACAGAAGCCGTCCACCTCCGCGGTCCTCCAGGACCGGCCGCATCCTGCAGGCTGCCTGGCGCCCCCGGGCGGTAGGAGCCGGGCCCTGGCACGGCAGGCTCCGTGGGCACTCATCGCGCAGTCTCCTTCCTCACTCAGCTGGACACGCCAGGGCTTCTCGCCCCCGCCCCCGAAGCAGGTGGGTCTCTGGCAGTAACACAGGCCCGAGTGCGTCCATGTGCCCCATCAAGAGCGGGCAGGGACGGCGGGTGCAGAGCCGTGAGTGGTCGAAGGGGACCCAGGCGACCCGTATCTGATTTGGAGACCGGCCGCGTGTGTGCTGAGAGAGAGATCGGACTGGAGGAGTCTGGGGGCCAGAAGTCAGGCGCAGGAGTGTGAGCGAGAGCTGGGCGCGGCGGGCAGGGCGGGTCGCTCCTGGGGCTTTGGGCCTGTGCCTGGAGCAGGGCTTCTGGCCTGGCTTCTGGCCTAGGCCTGGCCCAGGGCCCCGCAGAGGCTCCACTCGGGGTGGGACCTGCCCCTTGCCCACCCCCCTCCACCCCCCGCCAGGATGTGCACAGAGTGAGCAAGGGGGCTGACCGCTCCGGAAGGGCCTCGTGCAGGGGGTCCTCAAGCTCTGCCTGGCTGCCCATCTGCTCCTGGCAGTAGGAAGCAGAGCTCGAGGCTGGGGTCCGGGCAGGCTGCGTTCGCTTGATCTTTTTCGCCTCTCGGGGCCACCGGCAGGCGGGGCCTGGCTCCCCTGGCCCGCAAAGGCCGTGCTTCCTGGCCAGGGGGCGCCGGTGGCAGGGTGTGCCTTCAGCGCAGGACTTCTGCCCGCCGGCCGCCGCCGGAGGGCGGTGATCGGAACTGAGAAGGCTACAGGGGCCAAAAGGAGGCATAATCCTGGACCCTGAGCGCAGCAGCCCGGGGTCAGGAAAGCCAGCCCGGGACGTGCCCCCTTGGAGGGGCAGGCAGCCTGAGTGGTTTGGGAGTCCTCAGGGGCCCTCCTCCCGACGCTCAGGCTCAGTGGGCGCTCCCAAGACTCACCTCCCTAGGGCCAGGGGCTGCCGAATTTTGGCGCTCCGATCTGGAGCCGCTTGGGCCAGCTGGGCGCACGGAAGAGTTGGGTCGCGGGGTCCCCACCGTCTGGCCCCTCGGGCCTCTGCTTGCTGCTCCCAGGGGCGGGAAACGGGAGGAGCCCTGGCTGTCCTGGGCCCTGCAGGGAAGGGAGGGGAGGATGGTGTGGGGGTCCCCCCGACGCCTCCACGAGGCCCCTCCAGACAGCCCTCTCCCTCTCCTCCAGGCGCAACAGCCTCCCACAGCCCCGGAGGCCCACGGCTGCCCGCAGCGGGGCTGCAGGAACAGGGCCCTGACCCCGCCACGCTGGGGGCCCGCTCAGCTGCGGAGCTCCGCGACCGCCCTCTCAGCGCCCAGGACCGCAGCCACCGCGGCGCTTGGCCCCAGCCGGCGCCCCGACCTCCCCCAGCCTCCAGGCCCCGGGGCCGCGCGGCAGGCCTTCCCCTCTCTTCCCACTGCCACAGGGCCCCCGCCCCACCTCCCGCCCAGACAGCCTTTGCTCTGCAGAGGGGCCCCTGGTCCCTCGCTCCCAGGGAGGCTGGTTTGGGGCGTGGGGTAGGGGCCGGTCCCCAGGAGGGACACGCGCCCGCTGACATGGGCTGGCATGGCACCCAAATGTCCGAGAACTCAGTGTGGAGCTGGCACGGGGTTGGGGGTGCGGTTTCTGGGGGCCCACCCGCATTACCTGTGGCCGCTTCCCTCCACAGTCGGCTCCCACTGCACAGCAGGCATCAGAACCCTGAGTCTTAGACGGGTGCCCTGCGGCGGGGGCTCCTGGCCCCGGGGCGCGTCTGCAGGACGGCCCGATGGAGGGGCGATGGTGGGAAGGGGTGACCCGGCAGGAGGTGGGGTAGGGCCCGCGAACCCTGTGGCCAGGGGGCCACGGGCCAGAGGGGGACGGGTGGGGGGTCTTGGGAGGAGAGGACACTGGCGAACACTGTCGCAGACCATTTGGGCAATGCTGACGGGAGGGGGGAAGGGGGATCGGCAGGCCAGGGGGTGCGGCGGACGCCGGAGGCCCTGCGGACGCTGCTGGCCCTGCGGGCCGCCAGGAGAGGACGAGGCCCGCTGCTGCCAGATGGGAACCTGGATGGGCGAGGTGGGGGGCCAGGGGGAGGGACAGGCCGGCGCCCCGAAGCGCGGGTCTGTGGAGGGCAGGGGGACAGGGAGACAGGTGAGAGGGGTCGGGCAGAGGAAAGAGGGGTGGGAGAGCGTGGTCTGGGGAGGGGGGCAAAGGAGACTCGCTTCTTCATCGCTGCCAACGCACAGAACCAGACTCGCTGCCAACGCAGAGAATGAGCGTCTGACCCAAGCACGCGGTTCCAGAATCTGAGTTGTCTGCCTCTGTTCCTTTGTCCGTCTCTGTGACTTCAGAAGCCGGGAATTCTAGAGCTCTGGGCTTCCCAGGACAACGGTGGAAATCACCGAGCACTGGACCCCACACTCAGCGCACCTGACACGGAAAGGAGCCAATCCACACCCCCCACCCCCGACATGTGACTGAATGATTTTTCTAGAACTTCCATGAGCGTGACAACTGGGGCTAAGGAACCTGGGGGTCTGGAGTCCTAGTGGACTCGCCTCCCCAATCCAGCGACCCCTTGCCTTCTCCAGGTGCTGCTTTGTCCCCAAGCAAATGCCCCAGAAAGCCTGAACCCCATCGAGCCACCCAGAGCGGCTGTCCAGTCCTGTCACACCTCCTCCCTCCTGTCCGTTCCATCTGATGCCACCGCCCCCACGTGCCCCAGGGCTCCATCCCAGCCACTCTCGGGATCATTCCATCGTCTGCCATCCGTGATTCCGCCAGCTCTTCACTGCCCTGCCCTCCCCGCCTCACGCGCCCTTATTATGGAGGCTCCCTTGCCAACATCCCAAGATGCCAGCGGGTCCTGGGGAAGGGGCGCTGTGCCGGCCAATCACAGCCCCGTGGCGCCAGGGCCGTGGGGAGAGCGTGACGGAGCCCCGCGCAGGACATGGGGACGGGAAAGCGAGAAGGGCCGCTCCCTCCCCCTGGCCAGCTGCAGGGTGGGGCCGTGCGCTGAGCTCCCCAGAGAGCCCACTGGCCCAGCCTGGCGGGGGCGCTCCGGGCTGACCCCTGCACACCTGGCGGCGCTGGGGAACCATGAGAGACCTCATCCGGGCAGTGCTGGGGCTCGGGGGACGGGCCGCGGGGTTCTGCCTCAGGAGACAGGGAAAGGTCCCTGAGCCTGTGAGGGGGGAGGAAGCAGGTCAGGGTCCAAGCAGAGAGGGCTGTGGCTGGGTCGGCACGGCCCGCGGGGCTCCCGGCCCAGGCCTGGTCAGGCTAGGCTCTCTCACGTGTGTCGCATGTTGACTCGCGTGCACCGAAGCCCCTGGGCCCGGGCCCCTCCCTCCGGAGCCCCACCTGACACACTCGTGTGATCCTGGGGAAAGAGGACAAGACTCCTGAGTTAACCTGCACTAAGTGCCCTCAAAGCAAACACGAAACCCTGGAGCCAATGAAGACGCGATGGGCCCATCACACCTGAGTTTAACAGCTGAGCTGTGGGCCCTGGCTGGTGTCTCTCAGTGGACTGAGCACCCGCCCGCAACCCAGAAGGTCACAGGTTCGCTTCCCAGCCAGGGCGCGTGCCCGGGTTGTGGGCCAGGTGCCCAGCTCGGGCTGTGTGAGAGGAAACCGATCCATGTTTCTCTCCCTCACTTTCTCCCTCTTTCCTTCTCTCTAAAAAGAAGTACGTGAAATCTTTAACAACACACATACACACACACACACACACACACACACGAGTAAAAAGGACTGAGGAGTGTAACGCACTCGGCCTAGAATGGAGACATCGTCTCAGCCACAGGCGCTGGCTGCCTGGTGACAAAGGCAGACGTCCGAACAGATAGCGAGGCCCCCATATCCTCCCCCGAGCACAAGAATGGCCACTGTGCTGCTGCAGTCTCCTTCCTTCTGCCACGAGCCAGAAAGGTCACGGGCATTTCCTCTCGAAACACTGTCCCACCCTGCGTCACCTACCAGGAAGGGTGTGGGTCCCCCTGGGGCACAGACTGAGCCGTGCTCTTTCTGGGGGGCTGCTGGGGGTGCAGGCGGCCGTGCTGGGGCTGATTACGTGCCACAGGTCCCGGGCCTGGTGCTTCCCTCTCACGACAGAGCAGCTGACCCCTCAGGGCGTCCAGGGCTCGGCCAGTCCTGCCAACGTCACTTGCGGAATCTCACCCCGCTGCCGCCACCGTGGGTCAGAGCCACGGCCCGCTCTTGCGGGGTTCCCCGCACTGACCGCCGGAGCTCCCAGTGGCTCGGCCTCCAGTCTTGCTCCTCTGTTCCTGTACCGAAGTCCTTTCAGAGCTTCTGCGCCATCACTCAGCTCGGGCCAAAGTCCTCAACGGGCAGGCGAGGCTCTTGGCCTGGCTGTCGCTTCTGCAGCAGCCTCGCTCCCCAGCCTCCTCCCTCCACGCCCCGGCCACACTGACACGGACTCGGAGGGGCTCTGCGGCAGAGCCCCGCGGCCTGGCACGCGCTGCACTCTTCCCACCTCAGGCCCTCGCCTCCCCAAAGGCCACTCGGCCTTCAAGTGTAACTACCTCCACGGACCCCTTGGGGGAAAGGCATCCAAGGGAAACACTGCCCTTGATGAGATGGTAGATCTCAAAGTCACCCTTCTCGTTACGGGGCCTTTGGGTGGTCGTCGCTACGAATGCTGGCTCGTAGGATGTGTCCTCACCTTACGGTGCAGTCTGTGTCCAACAGCGGATCATTCACTCGTCCCCACTGAGCCGCTTAGTCCAGGTCATCTGGACACCGATGGACCCTGCACCACGCACGCGCCATGCCGGGCACTTCACACGTTCTTTCATTTTGGTATTAACCTGGCTGGCACTTACGTTTGTCCCGTTTGGGCAGAGGAAGACGTTGGGTACCAGCGCAGTGTCTTATGGCGGGTCAGAAGGCTGGGGCTTGCATCTGCTCTCTCTGGAGCTAGGCCCTCTCTCACACACCAGGCTCCATGGCCCACCACCCGCTCGGCGGGGGTGGCTTGTGAATGATGCCACGGTGGGTGGAATTGTAACCCCCACCCCCTGTCCGAAAAGAAGGCTGTGTTGAGGTCCTCACCCCACTTCCTCAGAACGTGACCTCGTTTGGATATAGGGTCACTGCGGATGTGAGCAGTTCAGAAGAGGTCATGCTGAAGCGGGGTGGCTGATGTCATAAGAAGAGGGAGAGACGCTCTTCCATCAGCAGATGACCGATTCAGCAGGCAAAAGATCAGTGGGGATGTTGTGAAGATGAACAGTATCGTCAATGAACTGGTGCTAACTGGCAGTCATAGAGTCCCTCGGCCAACAACAGCAGAATATACATTCTTCTCGAGCTCACACGGAATATTCACCAAGGTAGACCACATTCTGGGCCATAAAGGAGATCCGAACAGGTTGAAAAGGACAGAAATCATAGAAATTATCTTCTCAGACCACAATGGCATTACACTAGAAATTTAACAAGGTGGCTGCAAAATCCCAAAATATTTAAAGATTAAACGACACATTGTAAAATGACGTACCGCTCAAAAGAAAACAACACTTTTGAAAATATTTTAAAATATTTTACATGAAAATGAACATTCTCAAAATTTGCAGCCCGCAACAAAAGCAGTTCTTAAAACAAAGGGATTGCATTGAATGCTCCTGTTAGCAAAGGAGAAATATCTAAAATTAATAATCTGACCTTCCACCTGAAGAAGTTAGATTACAGTATATAGCCACAGCAAACAGCTGATGTGAAACGGAAGAAATGCAAAAAGAACAAAAACAAACACGAAACCAACAAACAAAAAAAAACAAACCCAAAACGGGGAACCGAAATCCATGAAATTGATAACAGGAAATTAATAGAGAAGATCAACACAAGCCCAAAAGCTGGATCTTTAAAAAAAAAAAAAAATCAATGAAATTGACAGACCTCTAGCCAGAGTAACCAAGAAGAGAAGACAGCAGTTGCTATGGTGGGAAGAGAAAGAGGGACAATTGCTACTAATCCCATGGCGGTTGAAAGGAAAAAGAAAGGAATATTATTTAAAAGCCTATACCCATGAATTGGATAATTAAGATGAAATGGCCCAGTTCCTCCAAAGGCACAGCCTACTGAAACTCACACGAGGAGAAATAGGTGCTCTGCATAGTTACATTCAAAGAGAGTGACTCAGTAAGTAACCACCCCACACCAAAGAAAGCTCCAGGCCCAGATGCTTCCACCGGGGAATTGTATGATTTAGGTACCGGAAAATGATGGTGCCGGAATCAAATGCTGCGAGAATTAATGATTATTGTGAAAGGCAGTTATTGGATACACCCAAAGCAGTTATTAAGAGCTTCCTAATAGGAGAGATCGAAGATGGCAGAGGAGTGAGCGGAAGTTGCGCTAACCTCCTCCCAGGACCAATCTGGAATTACAACTCGGTGGTGGAGGAACAACAAGCGCACCCAGAACAAACAACGGAGCAAGAGCGATAGAGAAGCCTCATAACCTCGGACAGAGAGAAGAATCTGCTTCGGCGTGACGTGACTGGCAGGGAGTGCGGTGGAGACACGAGAGGGCTGGCTGGGCACCCAGGTCGGCGGCTGAAGTGCCCTAGGGCTATGTAAGCGGCCGGTCGGATCCCCCTGAGAAGTGTGGTGTCGAAAGGCTAAGCCGGGATTCCCAGCCTGGAGCACCAGAGCCCACAAAGTACACAGATGACAGCCAGCTGCGAAAAGCAGCGGGGACTCTCTCTAGCAGAGACGGCTGGCTGGAGACGCACAGGGCCACTGAAAGGGCCAACGCATATATTTTCATTGGCAGCTGCTGGCCCTGGGCTCCAGCAAGGGGTGGGGGTGGGCGGAGTGGACTAGAGACCTTTGAGGAGAGACTGGGGATGGAGGCTCTGGGGAGAGAACTGAGAGGGTAGCTGCCGGGATCCCGGGGCTGAGTCGCGCCCCCATACTGCAGCAGCCATCGTGCTCAGGCAGACCACTGCCCTGAGGGGCAGCAGCCTGGGGGGAAACCATTGCCCCGACCCCAGGAGGGGCCCCGCCCCGCCCTCTGGTGCTTAAGCCTGGCTGCTGAGTGCAGAGGGACTAGCTTAACAACTGAAGGAGTCAGCCACAGACAGTAGATGGCTGGCAGTCTCCAACGGGCTGCCTGAGGTCCCACGGGGTCACCGTCTGACATCACCGGAAGCAGGTCCAGGAAGAAGAAACAACGTGACATACTAGATGCCCCCCAGACGAAATCCACCGTGGTCTTCTCCGTGATTTCTGATATCTTCTTTCCTGCACAGCTTTCTAACATTCATTTCTTGTCCTTCGAGTTTGTGCGTCTTAAGTCACTAGATTTCATACTGTAGTTTACCTATGTCAGGTCACATATCTTACCCCTTCTCTTACCCCACAGTACCCCCTTCTGTCCTTTGGTTCCTTTCACTTTTAGTTTTGTCTTCTCGCTTGCTGAGACTTGTTTCCATTGTGCACTCTTACCCGTCCAGCCTCTCCAAACCAATTTTCTGGTCAATGGTCATCTCACGTTCATCTTCCCGCTCTTAAAATACGTGTGTCCTCTCCTCACCTTTAGCAATCTTTGCTCGTTGGTTGTGCATAGGGTAGCTGTTGTTGCAGTCTTTCAATCTCATATGTAGACCCTCACAAATTTTGTATTTCAAATCTCAAATTTTACCGTTCCCCTCTCTGACTCTTTGTTACGGCTCCAAATGTAGTTTTGCCCCGCCTTAGGCTGCTTTTTTCTTTTCTTTTCCTCTCTCTCATCCTGCCCTTTTCCCCCTTTTCTTTCATCTCAGATGTTAACTTTGCCCTGTCGTGCCCTGGTTTTCGTTCCTCACTCTTTGTATTCCCTCTCCCTCCATCATCTCACAATCACTTCCGTTTCCTCTAGACTTCTCTTAAGCTTACTTTTCTTGCTTTTCCCCCCTCTTATTCCCATGCCACCTACATTGATTTTAGCTCATTTGTTGTTCATACTTCTGTGGTGGATCTTTCACTGCAACTCGGTTCCTATTTTGTTCTTCCTTGTTTACTTCCCCCCCTTTCCCTTTCTCTCTCTCACTTGATCTTATTTTATTTTTTTCAATTTCCGTTGAAACCTAGTACGATCGGCTTCCCTT